TGACAATGTCGCGAGAGGGTGCCGGTGTCTCCACATAAATAGGTCTCCGGCTGTATCGTAGCACGAACGAGCCAGCTCAGATATACGAGAAACAGTCCCAGGCCGGTTAAACGCATCACCGCTGGGAACCACGTCTCCAGGATTGTCTCGTTGATATGTTAATTAACGTTATCGATGCTCCACGAGTCGTGTTCGAATCAACTTGGTCGTTTATTATCTAATAATAATTCAGAAGGTTTTCTGGTTTACAAGTGATGTCATAGAATTCATTTTAATCAGTGCCAATAATTGTTTGATCAATTGGTAAATAAGAATTTCTTTGAAATAAGGAATTTTAGTTTTGAAAGAATTCATTGAAGTTTATACTTTTATGGACTTTTTTATATGTTTGTACTTATAGCAGCTTTTAGACGTACGTTTCAACTGAGAAAATATTTATTGAGCTCCGAAATTGATTTCTATATTTGTGTAACGAAATGCACAATTTCTAGATTGAAGTTTGATTCCATGTCGAATTAATTCGGACATCAAATGAAAGAGATGTATTCACGCGAACATTTGGTATTGAAATGATTGCAAATGTATTCAAACCGAGGTTATGATTTCATTATAAACTATTGAAATTTGTAATTTGTTTCTCTCAGCTGTAAAATTTTTTTCAATATTCTTTAGGAAACAATCGATTTTTACTTATTTTTTTTACGTACAAACTCTTTATTCTGGTTGTGCCGTTATTTCCGAGCGACTCCTTGTATTTCACAGTATATTTGCGAAATGTAAACAGTAACTTCCATATTAACAGGAAATGCGCAAATGAAAAGCGCTCGAGCGGAGCAATCATGCAAATGTAAACAGAATCAATCTTTGTATTTCATCTTTGCTTTAATGGGTCGGCCAGCTAACTAACGCCGCGGTTGCGGGCTGTTGAGATCTCAAAAGAATTTATTTCCATAATTAGCTTAACACCGCTGGCTGCAGCTAGCTGTTACTGTCATTCACGGTCCCTTCGCGACACACTGCTATTAATCGAGACAATGGAAGTAAATGCTGTACAAACAACGATGATACCGTTGATCAACGATAAACAAGGCTTATCCGGATTGACTGCCTCGAATTTCACTTCACGAGTCCCTTTAATGGTGATTTCTAAGCGAACATCGAAACAGGTCACGACGTTCTCCTTTTCTATTCAACGCGGTAAAGACTCGACTCCTTTCAGTATTCGTAAGATTACATTAAAACGGATGAAAAGTTCTTCCTTACACTGCGCAACGAATTTCCGTTCCGTTTTGATTATTATCCGACACTTCTCTTTCAAAAGTCTCCTCGTGCTTCGAATTACGCTTATGAGTAAAGGGATTTATGGAAAGTTCACAGAAAATTTGCAAAATTGTACAGGATATAGATATTATGGAAAATTATATAAAATATTTAAAGTATGGTGCTTTTAATAGTACTTCCTGGGAAAAATGATATCCTGTAGTAATCCTATTTTTCTGATGATATTCCTGAACATTTTTAATTGCATAAAAATTCGATGTTTACACTGAAACATCGTTAGATCATTTACTAACTGCTCATTGATTAATGGGGAAGGTTAAACAATTACTAAATCATCGCTAAAAAATTCATGACATATAAATTTAAGTGAAAAGGTGAGAAAAAATTACGCAAGTATTCAACTAACTTGGTTTTAAAGGGAGGAAGGGGTTTCACAGTTCTGTACTGGTTTTTCTAGTCAATACTTTTGCATCGAGAAACTGGCTGAAAAGTAAATGGTTTCTTTTTTCGAACATTTTACAAATTCAAATGTTTGTACTGTGTTTGAAACGTTTTTGTCGTAACGAAATTATTATGTATTAAAAAATTGAATTTTTTCTTTCTAGTTCGCTACCTGATTAAATCAAGAAAATTTATGTTTCTTATCATTTTTAATCGGTATTTTTAAAATGGTAAATTAAAAATCACGCAGTGATAAACCACGACATCATCTGTCTCCTTTGCTTCTCTGAGTTGTGATCTCCGTAAATGGCTGAACATTTAAAAATGGCGGTACATATCTGAGAAAAAAGACAGAAATAAAACATTGGACAGCTTGTAATTCGCGGTTAATTTTATTTTTTTTCCAACGAAGTTAGGCAAACTCTCACGCACACTCGTTGCCGTACAACTGCACAAATCTTCTTAAAAGATAATTAAAGCACCACACATATTCGAGCAAATACTATTTAAATAAACAGGACGCAGGAAATTAAAACCTCTCCTTTGAACAAACGGAATAGACTGCCAACAATAAAGGATTCCTCGTCCCATAATGAACCACCGAAGAATTCATTTCATTTACCATTATGTACAATAGGCACATACGACAAACTATAAAAACATTCCTCGCCACAAATAAGAAAATTAAAAATGTTAAAACAATATTAATAAAACAATACAATATCCACACCAACTTAAACTTTATCCACCTTCTAAAAAAAATACAGCAAAAATTAAACTCGATTTGGGTCGAGAAAGACCGTAGGATTTAATCAACCTTAATGGATACTTAAAACTGTCCAAACAAGCGCCTGTTTCAGTACACTCGCCACAAAAGTAAAACATTTCAAACAATTCGTTTCATTACAAATTTCCCATTAAAAAGGAAAATATCATCAGCAAGCTCTTAAAGTCTGCGACGAGTTGCGGTACTCGAGTAGATGATCACGAGGCACCGAAATTCGATTGGATTCCACAAATACCGCTCTCGTCCCGTCCTGATTACAGATTACGCGGATAACTTCGCTAAACGCACGCATTTCAGCCCGTTAAATTGACGGGGGGAGACGTTTCCCAAAATCTTGACGTATAGTGATCAGCGAGGCGTGTTATGGAACGTTTCGTCGTTTCTCGTATTTCTCCGTGGCGTGGGCGGAGGAAGACGAAGCTGCGAGTCCGAATTGAATCAGCATGATTTCCCGAATGCGTATTGCCGGTTGCGTAACCGTTCAGACTTCCCCCGCCTATTTACGGATACGGCCTTCTCGCCCGCGCAAACGAATCCTTTGAAGTTGATCACCAACGAAGAAGCAATTTCGTCGCCGGGGCTGGTTACAGGTCGTCGCGCCGCGTACACTGTCCTATGCTGATAATGCGATTCGGCGATGAGCCCTCTGAGACGGCTGCGGATGGAGCGGAATATCTGCTAAGAACATTGAATCCAGAATGAGTTCGAAACGGAGCGCGGTCTTTACACGGCATCATGAATTTGGATGAAATCTTCGTTGCGCCTCTGAACTTCAGAAACACAAAACCAGGGATGGTAACGAGTTATACTATCGGTGTCGATTCCTGGAACAGTAATGGGGAATCGGAAAGGAGTAATTGTTGTCAAGTGTATCGGTTCTAAGCTGTAAAATATAATAGTGATTCTGTATGTGTTCTATGTCTATTATTTTTCCGTTTTGAAAGAAAAGCAAAATCGAAATGCAGCACCGGAAAATAATTGTTATAGAACTGAAATGCAGAACCGAAAAGTAGCAGTTATAGAACCAATACAGAACCGATATATCTAATAACAGTTATGGCATTATTTCAGTTCTAAATTATTCAGTTCGTAGATAATTGAAACTGAAAACAAGAATGTAAATTATTCAGTTTACAGATAATTAAAACTTAAAACAAGAATATAAATTGTTCAGTATGTAGATAATTAAAACTTTGAACGATCCAGCACGCAGAAAATAGTGACACGGTTAATCAAGGCTCTATTATAAATGCGAAGCTTGTGTCAGAATTATGTCAGCATTTTTCTTCCCTTTTATTCCCTGCAAAACGGCTTCGTATTATTCTAGGGGTAATGTGTATTCTGTCATTTAACAGAACCGGGATGATTGTGAAATGTATAAAAATGCCCCGGCTCACAGAAAAGTTATTAACGGAATGTTACAGGCTTTCCGATTGCATGCAATTTCTGTTTTTCATGTCCGTAAAAATAACTCGAATACCGTATGTTCGTGCACGCTGTCCAGGCAGTAATAGTGGACGTGGCTTAACACTTTCACACGCCGAATTAACCTTGTGTGAAATAGATGTGATGAAAAAAGGCTTCTCCTTTTCTCGTTCGAAAGTGGACTGTATTTGTTGAATATTGAGTGAAAGGAATGTGTATGTGTTTACAAAGTTAAAGTGTGTGTGTTGTCCAATGAGTACAGCGTGATTATTATGAACTTGTGATGTATGTCTGTCTCTCTTGTCTGTCAAAGTCTCTCTATATATATAAAAATACTGAGATAGGGCGGTGTCCTTAGTGACAAATCAGAAGGCTATCTTAACCAAATAAACCGTGCCGGAACACCGTAGGTAGTTCATGCTGTTGCATCGAAGCGTATACAATTCATGAAAAAAGTTATTTGAGCCTTTTCCAATATTACGTATCGATTCGATATTATTTTATAGGCGGACTTTCGTGAATCTACAATGAGCTTCGGTTCACCGTAAAATAAAGCGTAATCAAAGAAGAATATTTTATTATACTATCGCTTTCATAATAAGTATGAATATCAAATATATCGTAATTATAAGCCACACAAAATATCCAATAATTTTAGAACCTCGCCATCCACCAATTCTTCACTCCCAAAGGTATTCCAAAATTTCAAAGCTCCAAAAACGGAATATACCAACGCAAATCAGATCGACTTCTCTTTTTTAGTAAAGAAATAAAACTCCTCAAACATCAGTAATAAAAACTGGAAAAGAATATTTAAATCTTTCTATTCCAAATGAGAAACAAGAAATAAAAGACATTATTTCCGATGTAACAAATGTGTACTGAAGTCTTATTTCGACCCTATTCAGCGTGTGATCCGATTCGTTTCGGTCTACCGGAAATCCTGCTGACCTACAACTAAATCGAAAATTAGGAAAACCAATTAACGGGTACACCGAAGAAGCAAAGTATAGCGCGAGGCAACTATAACGTCATGTTACCGAGGTGTATCCTCTTTTTGTCGCAGGTGCAACGGTGGCTGGCTTCAACTAGAAGGCGGCGCTCGAGTTTGCGGTCGCAACGAACGTTTCGGTCAGCCGGTCGTCCTGTTTTCCGACAAACCAGCCCCGGTCCTTCACATGCAGTAAGTATATAAGCTCTATCGATCCCTTTCATTTGATCGCGAGGGTTTTGCTTCATCAGTCCGGCGGAGATTGGTCAGGGGAAAGAGGGGGGGCGGAAAGGGGGCTGTGAAGGATTAACATCGAGCGAAATAAATTCATTTGACTGCCTTTATTTTATATCGGTAGAACTCCTCCCTCCAAATAAATTCAGTACAAGATACAGTGTTCCGATGGAATTGTCACTATTTGGATGACTGATGCATGGAATCGCATATCCCTTTTAATTAACGGATTACAAGGTTTTCTTGTATGTTTTAACATTGAACACACTTACCGTTTTCAAAGAATTACGTGTATCAATTAATTATCTGGGATCTTTAAAGCATTTCTGCGGATTGGATTAATTAACCCTTTGCACTCGATTTATTTTGAATATTGTTGGATGTAAACTTGTATTTATTTTTAGGGAAATGAATTAAAGTAATTTCTAGCCGTAGAATTCAACGTTTTATATTTGTTTTATTTATTATTGTTGTAATAAGATTTAATTTGTATAATCTTTTAAAGTGTAGTACTTTCCACAGTACCACAAATAAAGTATAACAAATTTGTATTGTCATCTTTAGCATGACATACAAGTGCAAAGGGTTAATATGCTTGAATCGTTCCTTGCGAAACACTTACGGCGCTTCTCTGCGCGGAGCATGCGAAATAAAGGGATGCAAATATGAAGACGGATCGACAAGTAAGACTTCGGAGGTCTTTGTGCGAATGAGTTCGATAATGTTTGCTTTATTGAAAACATTATCGAGTCGTGAATTATGATTCTTAAGAGAGTAAGTGATTCTGAAGTTCGTTAATTGTTTGAAGTAAGGGGTTTCATTGTATTAAATGGTCTTGATCGCGTTCCTCGCGTTACCAACAAATTTCGGAACTTTAACGGCAGATTGCCACTCCGATGAATCGCAGGTTTACGGGATCGATTTAACTTCGTTCCGCGAATTACCACGGACGCGCGCTGTAAAGCTTTTGTGAAAGATCTGCGAGCGACCTCAGAGAGGAAATTCTACCTTCATTACATAATGGGAACACGTCTTGTGCTAAGTTCCCTTTCTTACTGTTTGCCGCTACTATTTCGATTAAATGAATCAATAGTCAATGTACAGAGTGTTACAGATGGGGTGGGTCGCGTGAAAAGAATCTTTTAGGAAATTGATTTGGAATTATAACATTTAGAGTTAAAGAATTATTGAAAATCAATGTTAAATTTTATAGTCAAATATTTAAAACTGTAGATTCGTGGAAAACTGATGTTAAATTTTTTAAGCAAGTATAAGAATCACATATCTATACGTAGTGATGTAAAATTTACGAGACACAAAGCAATGTTTTAATTAATTGCAATCCTGTTTTCAGTATATTTTGATATTAAAAACTTGCCTTTTAAGACAGTTAGACGGAAAAGGTAAATTGATTTAAACCTTTATCCGATTTATCTATTCGTGCGTCGAGGCTCCATTAGTGTAAGAAATGCTACAAAGGTGAGCAGTTGCTTTTCTTCTGATCTTTGAAAATCGTTCAATTTCGAGGCGCGAGCATCACCTTTGAAATAACAGCGAAATGTATTCGCGTGGAAGGAATTAAGCAAAGAAGGAAATAACTTTGCTAAGAGGGATTCATGGAATTTACTTCTCCGGTGGAGGAGGCCGTCGTAATTAATTGGCTCTTTTTCCCTTTGTCCACCATTCACGGAGCGTTATCCGGGCGTTTTTGCGTGCCTTCATTTAAATGCAAATTAATTTACCTTCGCGAAACGAAACGGCTTCCTCGCTACCGACTGTTTCCAGACCACGGTTATTTTTCGTCGGCGAGATCGTGACGAGCCTTCATCCTCCTTGATCGTGTGCCGCACTCGACTCTCGTTGTACTCGCCATTCGTTGTGGAGATTATGGGACAATTATCCTCTTATTCATTATTCGTTTCAGAATGCATGCTACCGATCAAAAGTTTTAAAATTTTAATCAGGTTTTAATCAATTTATACCGCGTGATGAATTTTTTTCTCATTAGCTAAATAACAGTTTTTAAGAATGATACCTCTTGGCCCGTATCTTTGATAAATAAATGAAATTAATCCTGAAATTTATTTAATTAAGGTGAAGCTATTCTATTCTGATTTTAGTGGAAGTTGGACAAATAAATGTGTGACAGAATGCAAATGAACTTTGAAAAGAAATTTCTTATAAATGGGTTTCATTGCTCTCAATTTTACAGCGTGACTGATCTTATTACCCTTTGTCTAAATGAGGTTTCCTGAATTCTGTGGAATGACAAATAATTTAAATGTACTTGTATAAAATGATTGCATTTTAACATAATATATGGATGCAATTTCTGTAGAATATTAATATTTTTCAATACAGGTATAAAATATTGTATATAAAATATTATATATAAAGCATTAACATTGTTTATAAAATATTAATACCCTCTAATATAGATGTAGATTTATAAGATATTAGTATATTCTAATGCAGCTACAAAACACTTTATAAAATGTAAATATTTTCTAACACAAATACCTCGGGTAACTAAACATTCGTCTGAATAGTCTGCTGACCTTTGCCACTTCTGTGAATTTGAATTCAGAAGCACACTTTTAATATATGCCACGTTACTACTTGGCAGATAAGTGTTACTTTTGAACACATTTCTAATTTTTGATTAAATACTAATAACATATTATGTATCTTATGTTTTGCTACTTTGTTTGAAATGAATAGAAGAAATATTAAAACATATATGTTTTTAATTTATAGTCTATAAGACGAATGTTTAGTTACAGAATGACACTGATTTAAATGTAGTCATCTAGGATTAAGATAGATGAACGTCACAAATATAAAACAAACGAAGATTAATTTGGAGCAAATCTTCTCTGAACAGGCCGTTACCTTTACGCGAGCCGAATTTAATGATTCCTGTTTTCAATTTCGAATAGACAGGATTTCCAGATTAATCTCGGTCGCTGAATCGAGCCGCTGCGGTTATTCCGTGAGCGGGAAATCGACGGCGTCCAGAGCCAGTGGTTCATCTCCATTCTAATCGTGACGATTGGCAATTTTACGGGCAACCCGACAATTTGACCGTAGAACTTCGGCGAAGCGTGAATTGTCGCATCTTCAAAGTAAATAAATCAAGTTGATTACACGCGTGCACTCGGGCCTGGTTTTGCGGTCACGTGGCACTGATACGACTGACGACGGAACAGTTTATTAATTTCATAAATAGTGAGTCCACGATAATCGTGATTGTCAGGGAGGAACTACATCCAGGTCATGTATACTCATATGTATGTATTACAGTGACATCGCCATAGAAAATAGAATCTCCGAAAGTAAGCATTTCAACTAACAATTATTGATTTATCCACATTTTTATCTCTCTTCGTATTTTCTAATTAATTAATCAAAATATATTTTACTTTACTTGTATGGTTTAAGTTCATTAACTACTTTAATATCTGTTCTTTAATTGACGCGTTATGTAAAATACTTAAATTTGCAAATGAAACTTTTAACTTCAAAACTTAGTTATAATAGTAATTAAGAAGATGATAATAGTGGACAATAGTATTGATTACTTTCTATGTTATTATAAATTAATGAGTAAGAAATAAAGAATAGTTAAGACAATTGTATTGACCTAACGTCAAAAGGGGCATTAAAAGTAACTATGCGAGACTGTTGTCTGCAGTTGCGGTTGCGCATTCTTACGTGCCACATTGAAGGACAGGTATCGTTGAAGTTCAAAGCCGAAGTTAAACGCCATAAATCACGACTCGACACATTTATGCCAGTCGCGCTCCGTCGGTTTGCCACATTACGCTCGACTTCTCAACTTATATAAATTTCATCGTTCGACCGGCCAAACTCCTTCGTCGAAATCACTTCCGTGAAAGTGCTTGGTAATAACGCGCCAGACATTTTCAGGTCAAAAAGTGTTGCCACTCTTTTTTTTCTGCTTGCCGACTCGTTTCTACCGAATTCGTTCGTTGAATTCTTAAAAGGGCGTCACAGATTCGCACGACACGACATTCTATACTTCAGGGCACTTCATTTCGACAACAGCTGTTCGTGATTGCGGCCATTTAAATCTTTTGTCAGACTGGCTGTTGCAAATTCCGCACGCTTATCTCGTAATGCAGTACGCTGGCGATTTTCAACCTCGTTTTGTATTTATTTCAGTGTTTCCTGGTGAACAATTTTCGAGTTATTAATGATTCATATAATCTATCTTTCGTTTTTATTCGGAGCATACTTTTCCGACATGCAATTCGATTTAGTACGGTTATATGTTCATATCTGTAAACCAATGAAATCAGTGATTTCTGTGTTGAAAGCACAGTACTGAATAATACTAAGAGAATTTATAATAAGTACCTATTGTAATTACAAAAAAAATTATACAAATTAACATATAACTTTTTTGACCGAAGTTTATAAAGCGAACATTTTAATAAACCTCTGAATTACGAATGCATTATAAATCTTGAAATAATGAAATCACTAATATCAAAAGCTCATTAAATCTTCAGAATTAAGTGGTCATACCCCAAAGTTAATACTGAAACGGAGCGGGATGACACGTTTCGCAAATCTCAGGATAATTGGAGTATTAACAGTTTAATCCGATTTTACTGCGAAATCATAAATGACCAGGCTTAACGATTTCCCTGATTATTCGTTCAAATTAAAATTTAAAAAGGATACTCTATACCTCGTGAGATGCCTTTCTGTCATATTTCAAACACTTACTTATATTTCAAACGTGTACTTTTAACGTAACACGAAGTATTCAGATTTTATTAGGCAAACAGAATCCAAGAGCATAAAAATAATTATGTTTTAATGTATTACGCATAATGTAGCGTGCACTGTCGCCATCTTCCATACAGGATATGAACTATAATAAGACCATAGTATAATCGGACTTCTTGAAATGGGGAAACTTTGAAGAC